AAAAATAGCAAGGGTCACCCCGACAAAAGGGGGAAACCAAACGAGTTGAATAACTATAGGCCAATACCCAAATTTAAAACAACCCACCTCAAAATCTTCAAAAAATTAATTTCAAAACAATCCCTCCTCCCCCCATCTCCCCTAACATTCTCAACCCCTGCCAATTTTGGGTTCACCAATAAAAATACTAAGTGCATTTTACACATGCTAGAACAATAACACTGCAATAGAGAAAAAAGCCCACTGGGGGCTTCATTGACTTACTAAAGCTTTTTTAAACAGTTGACCATGACTTTCTCCCCGTAAAATTGTCACACTATGGATTAGAGGGCACTCCCTCCTACCTCAAGTCTTACCTCAGCAACAGAAGCCCAAAATGTGTACGCAAAGGGCAAGCCTCCGCACAACCATTACAGTTGGGGTCCCAAAGGGAAGTGTCCCTTGGCCCTCTTTTTTTCTTTCTCCTATACAAAATGACCACCAAACTTTTGCATTTCTCAAACCCACACTTTTGCAGATGAAAACCACATACTCTTCTCTCACCCAGCCCATCACGCTAGCCAATACTGTAAACACCGAATTACAAAAATACTACCCGGGGAGGATTTAACAAACTTACACTAAACAGACAAAACCTACTTCATTCAGTTTGGTAACAGAGCTACAGATTTCCTCTTAACATAACTAAAACGGACACCTATCACAAACTAACAAGGGAAAAAACTTAGGAATCCACCCGATAATAGACTCAAAATTTCATACACATTTAAAACAAATTTCTAAGAAATTTCCAAGATGTAGGCATACTATCGAAGATCGTACTTTGTTCCACAGTAGCCCTCCTGGCCCTTTCATCTTATTTACCCCATCTCACTATGGAATTTGTCAGGGCTCAACAACAACTAACCATCTCAGACCACTAATTTACCAAAAAAAGGGCTGCAGTTAGAAAAACAAATTCTCCCTACAGGCAGCACACCACCAATATTTCCAAAACACTCAACCTCTCACTATAAAAAACATCCATACTTATTACTGCACCATTACATACATAGAACACTTAACTCGATATTAACCCTCCCCTCAAACATCCCTTGCCAACCTCAACAGAACACATGACCATAATACAAGGCACAGATCACTCTTTGATGTTCCTCGTGTCCAACTCACGCTATGCAAAAACTCAATGCACATAAAAGGCCCTAAAATCGGAATTCATTACCTGTAAATATAAAAAAACACTACCTGTTTATAAATTCAAGTCTCTTCTCAAAGTTCACTTACTCACTCAAAACCAAATACTGAATAACTGAACCATATAAATTGATATCCTAAATTTTTACTCAAATTATATCACACAAATGTTAAACCTAACTTTTTATTTTTTTTAAATACACTACCTAACAGAATACTCCATTCTACTGAATGTACAGCAATGCATGCAACCATAGGACCTGTCTTTGTAATACTCATTTGTATTTTATAGTTATCTGTTTACAATAATGTCTTATCACTGATTTCATCATTGCTTAGTTAATCTTAAGTTAATTTTAAGCCAGCCATAATGCTATGCATATAAGTGGCTTTGGCATGCTGCTCTTACCTGTATTTTTTGTACCTCTGTTTGTATGCTAAAATTTCTAAATAAATAAACTAAAATGTTAATGGAGGCAGAGAACACATTTTTAAAAACAATTTGTGGTACAACTGTGATGCAAAGGTAGAAAGCTGAAAGTGAACATAGAAAAAGAGTAAGGTGATGAGGGTATCAAATGATTTAGATCAAGAAAAATTGGATATCAAATTGGGGAGTAGTAATACGGAAGAAGTGAATGTTTTCAGATACAATGGACCCATGCCGTTCGGCAGCCGCGACTTTCGTGAAATCCAACTTTCGGCAAAATTTAGCTTCGTGGTTGGACTCATGATTCGGCGACCTTCTGGTATGCGTCTGCCAGGCAGCGCGCACACAAAGCCAGTCTCCCACACTATTCACACTCAAGTGTGCCATTGTTTACCAGCATGTGACCATCACCCCACAGGTTCATACAACACATTTCATAATTCATTGTTCTTTGTGCTTGCAACTGCTAAATAAGCCACCATGGGCCCAAAGAAAGCTCTTAGTGCCAGCCCTTTGGTAAAGAAGGCGAGAAACACTATAGAATTCAAGAAAACACTCATAGCAAAGTACTAAAGTAGAGGAAGAGAGCGGAGAATGTGCCTCCTGCATCGATTCAGTGATTCTACAATATGTATGATACTAAAGCAGCAGGTATTGATAAAGATATATAGCTCCAGCCAGCAATAAAGTGTAGAATTAACAGTGTAGCAAGTTAAGCGAGCAAGCGATCGAAAAACAACATGAGAGTAACTCTCCAATGTTGTTGGATGTGTATAGGACCACTGAACATACACCGCCCTGCTAACTTCCACCACCCTAAACCTCTGCCAACATCTTCATCAAACTAATTAAACGAACATCTCCAAGGCAAGTGTAAATGTAAGTGTAAATATAAAAGGACACCAATGGAAATGTGTCACTCTTGAATTTTTTGGGTTATCCTGGGTAATTTACACACATGCTGCTATGTATGATAATCTATGTATGTAACTATTTGTGTATACCTGAATATACTTATTTATAAATTAAAATGTAAATATTTCTTATTTATAAATTACATACATTGTTTAAGTGTGATGGTGGTGGTGGCCAAAACCTCCACCGCCACCGACACGGCTTCTCTCAGTGGCAGCCCTTAAACCCAACAACACTTACACCATTTACTCCTCTCATACATTATGACATTTTATTCATTCTAGAGTATATATCATGTTTCTATTTTATTAATATTGTTTATAATGTCATATTAGATGAATTGTGATAGATAAATAAGCCGTAGAGATATTAGCGTCATATCGAAGCATAATAAACTCGCCTTCCTCTTGCCTCCTACCTACCTCCTATACCAACAAGAATCTATAAAGGTTAAGTGTGATGTTAAATGTTCATTTATCCATTTTATTAGTGGTTTATATCTGTCATTTTTTCTGTATGTAAATCTATATTTAATCTTTAAAAAAATTATTTTTTGTTAATACTTCTGGCTGTCTGAAACGGATTAATTGAGTTTCCATTATTTCTTATGGGGAAAATATTTGCCAATCATGAATTTCGCCAGTCGGCAGACTCTCTGGAATGGATTAATCACAAGCTCGGGAGTCCACTGTACGTATTTGGGAGTTGAAGTGTCGGCGGATGGATTTACGAAGGATGAGGTTAATCATAGAACTGACGAGGGAAAAAAGGCGAGTGGTGCGTCGCGGTATATGTGGAGACAAAAAACGTTACCTATGAAGGCAAAGAAGGAAATGTATTAAAGTATAGTGGTACCAACACTATATGGTTGTGAAGCTTGGGTTGAAAATGCTGCAGCGAGGAGGAGGTTGGAGGCAGTGGAGATGTCCTGTCTAAGGACAATGTGTGGTGTAAATATTATGCAGAAAATTCAGAGTGTGGAAATTAGGAGATGTGGAGATAATAAAAGTATTAGAGGGCTGAAGAGGGGTTGTTGAGGTGGTCTGGTCATTTAGAGAATGGATGAAAGTAGAATGACATGGAGAGCGTTTAAATCTGTAGGGGAAGGAAGGCAGGGTAGGGGTCGCCCTCGAAAAGATTGGAGGGAGGGGATAAAGGAGGTTTTGTGGGCGAGGGGCTTGGACTTCCAGCAAGCGTGTGTGAGCGTGTTAGATAGGAGGTAATGGAGACGAATAGTATTTGGGACCTGACGAGTTGTTGGAGTGTAAGCAGGGTAATGTTTAGTTAAGGGATTCAGAGAAACCGGTTGTTTTTATATAGCCGGACTCGAGTCCTGGAAATGGAAAGTACAATGCCTGCACTTTAAAGGAGGGGTTTGGAATACTGGCAGTTTGGAGGGATATATAGTATCTTCATACGTACACGCTTCTAAACTGTTGTATTCTGAGCACCTCTGCAAAAATGGTGATTATGTGTGAGTGAGGTGAAAGTGTTGAATGATGAGAGTATTTTCTTTTTGGGGGGGATTTTTTTTCTTTTTGGGTCACCCTGCCTCAGTGGGAGGTGGCTGACTCATTGAAAAAAAAAATGAAATTTATTATTCAGTGTACAGGAGGGGCCAAGATGGTTTGGGCATTTAAAGGATGGAGCAGAACGGTATGACCAAGAGGGTATATGAATACTACTAAAGGTAAGAGGTGCCAAAGCATCCATGGGTATCTGCAGTCGGCAGTCTCCCACCGAGGCAGGGTGACCCAAAAAGAAAGAAAAATCCCCAAAAAGAAAATACTTTCATCATCATTCAACACTTTTGCCTCACTCACACAATCACTTTTTGCAGAGGTGCTCAGAATACAACAGTTTAGAAGCATATACGTATAAAGATACACAACATATCCCATACCCCTCCTTTAAAGTGCAGGCATTGTACTTCCCCTTTAGTATATGTAGCAGTAAAAATTTTGGTAACATCCCATCCCTAATAAACACTGGAAGAAGGCGATACGCTTTATCTCAGAAAGGGGTTTTATGGGTGCTAGATAGACTTGAGAATTCAGCAAGTATGGGCAAGAGTGGAGAGAAGTGGTTGGAAGGATTTTACTCCAATGAACAAGGTTAACACTTAGAAATTCAGGGAACTGGTTAGCCAAACTCCTGAAAGTAAGAAATAAAGTGCCTGCACAGTGAGTGGTTATGTTAATTCACAGGTCATTAGGATTTATTTTACACACCTAGCAAGATAATTATGGAATAACAGTCTTCCCCAGTCATCTTACCTTGGAAAAGTAGGTTGTGAAAAAATAGGCATACTCGTGTTGAATAAACAAAATGAGGAAGGGTATGTTAAAAATTATTTAAAAAATTCCAAGTTGCAACAATAAGACTTAAAAACTTGCTAATTATAATTTTGTATAGCATATTTTTACAAACACTGCCCTTAATTAATAGCCAGTATACTTACGCAGCAATAAACATTGCAGTGGTGCCAACAAGCTGCAGTTTATCTCTCTTGACCGACATATGGGAGAGAAAGCGGTCTATGTAAGAGACTGCCAAGTATAAGGTTTCTGTGTGAAGGCTGTATTCTTCTGCTACTTCCACAAGCCAGTCAACAAGAATCCATCTCATACTTGCTGTTATATCCGTCTGCTTTGACATGTAGTTTGCACGTGGTTTATGACATACCTGGTTGAAATTCAAGTTCATAAAGCTATATGCATTTTATTTTAGAATGAAGATTCTAATTAACAGCTACATAATGACAAGTAACTTTCTTAACAGGCAAAGTAAATTTAAAAAGAAAAGTTATAGGCTTAGCCTTAAATAAAAATATAGGTAAGGGGAAGAGTAAATAGGGCAAAGTGACCGAGCGGTAAAAATCGTGCTTGCCTACGGCAGAATACTTTTCTCTGGGGCATCCAGGACAACCCACTACAGTATGCATCTCCTTAAATACAGACTTTAAATTTAGTGCCACTATTACTACAACTGCACATCTACCTTCTGTACTAGTACATTTACTTTTATAACCTTGTTTCAGGATAATACAAAAACTTAAATTTTCTATCAACCCTTCATAACAAGGCACATTTAAAATACAGTGGTACCTCAGGATACGAGCAGCTCAAAATTTGAACAATTATGCAAGTGCTTTTGTAAGTGTATTTTTGGGGTCTGAAACAGATTTATCTAATTTACATTATTCCTTATGGGAACAAATTTGTTTGGTATCGGCACTCGAACAGCCTTCTGGAACGAATTAAGTTCGTATCCCAAGGTATCACTATATGAATTAGGAATTTTGAGTGAAAAATGCTAGGGACTGACATACTCAAGAACAGTATGCATGTAAATACATAAATATTTACACATTAAACGTTACCTCTGCTTCCTTAAGGTACTGATAAATATCGGCAGCATACTCTGGAACATCATAAATATCATCGTTTCTACTCTGAAGGACCTCTTCTCTAGGAGTTTGTTCCACTACCATAAGATCATCATCACAAATGCTCATTTCCATCACATCAGAAGACCCACTTGAGTCTATGTCTGAAGATCTGTAAAGAGATAAAAATTAGAAAGTTCATCTTATTTAAGCCTATTTTCATTTTATGTCATAACTTAAGAAAGCACTACTTACTTTTGTAATGCTATTATAGATGGGTCAATGTCTTGAATACTATCAGATTGTTTTTCTCGAGGTTTACTTGACCTTTCTTTTAATGGTAAAGATATTGAAGTACTGCTTGCATTAATTAAGCTGCTGGTACCGGAGGACCCCAGGGATATATATGATGGTTCATCTTCATGGATTGTGAAAGAAGGTTGACTTGAAAATGATCTCTTGTTAGGACATGCATTTTCATCTTGTTGCGGAACTCCAGTTTCATAGCTGATTCCCTGCAAAGGAAAAATTGAAGTTGTAATTACAGTACAGTACCTTTATTTCATACCCTAAAGTTAATACCTAATTTAACTGGCTTCATGTAATTTATCATGGAATACTAAATGCCATTCCATCACTCCCTTCTGCCTTTTGAAAGTTCAACAAATTGTCTGTGGTGACCTGTACTTAAATCTGTGAAGAAGTGTCTTGTTTGCTCCCGTGGACTGAACCAAGATGCCCTCCATCGAGCAACTTTACCAGCAACTTAAGGAAGAATTGAGGGCAGCTAAGATGAAGATACGGCGATTGACCGAGGAAAACAAGAGGATTCGTAGTAGTCCTCCTGTTTCGAGTCCTCAGGTCAAGAAGGGATCGTGGCCAGTGGCTGGACAGCAGGGGACGACGAAGTTGACGATCAAGAAGACGAATGGAAAGCCAGAAACGATGAAGAAAGACTGCTGTGGAAACTCCTGTGGAAACCTCCAACGCATTCTCGGTGCTACCCGACGAATGTGAGTCGACTACTGGGATCGTCACGACGAACGACAAGGAAGGTAAGAATATTGTTGTTGTTGGGGATAGCCAGGTTAAGATACATGGATAGGGCATTCTGCTTGAAGGACAGGAGTAGGAGACAAAGGGTATGCTTTCCTGGGGCTGGGATGGAGGACATTGTTAGCCGGCTTGACAACATCATGAACGGTAATGGGATCAATCCTATTATTTGCCTCAGTGCTGGAGGCAATGATGTAGGCATGCGTAGAAGTGGGGATTTAGTTAGAAAGTTCAGGACAGCTATAGACATAATTAGGAAGAAGGGGGGCGCCCTGTTATATGTGGCATTTTGCCAAGAGAGGTGTTGGTAATGAATGGTTGTCCAGAGCAATTGGTATTAATTGTTGGCTGGATAAACACTAAGGATAATGCAGTACCATTCATTGACAATTGGGACAACTTCTATGGCCGAAATGACATGTATGCCAGGGATGGGGTTCACTTATCCAGGGCAGGTATGGGTTTTCTTGCTAACTCAGCTGAGGGGGTTGTTAGGACTTTAAACTAGGATTAGTTAGAGGTATGGGTTTAAAAATGATTAATAATGAGTATGGATATATTGACTTATGCTCTGATATTAAGAATCTTAATAGTAACTGTCATGGAGTAACTCTGGGTAATGATAATTTCAGAAATTGTGTAAAAATAAAGATGAATAGGAAAAATGTGCAGAAGAAAAAACATACGATGGTATTTTATGCTAACAGTCGAAGTGCAAGAAATAAAATTAATGAACTACGGTTTGGTCGGCATGTGCCGGTGGGAACTTGATAATCATTTGATTAACTGAAAACGTGGTGTGTCATTTAAAAGTGTCGGGTATATGACTGCTGAGTTTAATATTCAGGATTTAAGTTGTTCAATGTGGTAGATGTAATGGGCGAAGGGGGGGTGAGGAGTTGCATTGTATGTTCTGAGAAAAATATTAATTGTTGCATAAAAACCGGTATAAAAATAGATGGAGCAGTAAACAGTGGTTTGGGTCGGAGTTCGTGGTGGGGGGGGTCAAGAACAAACTAATTCTAGGTTTATTATACCGACCTCCAGGCTTGGATCGAAATTGTTAGGGCTTCTGGACACAGTAACAGTCATAGTAGGGGACTAACTTTATTCAAAAATTGACTGGAATCTTTGACAGTAATCTAGAGTCCAGTGACTTTTGGAACAGCTTCCAGTTCCCCAGGACTTGTTTTCTGAAACAGAGCGTAACTGAGCCACCCGGGGTAATAATTTGCTAGACCTAGTCTTGTCAAATAAGGAACACTCGTGAATAATCTTGGGATCACTGAAGAGCTTGGCGGCAAGTGATCACAAATCCATCACTTTCAGCATTAATTGGGGAAAGCAAGAATATGATAATAACAGTAAAAATCCCTGATTTTCGGTTCTTCCGATTATAATGACTTAGGGAACATCTGTCTAATCTTGATGGCCGTTATCTTAGCTAATGATTTTAAATGGACGATAATCATACTTATGAATATGAAGGGGAACTCTTTTATGAATGTTTTTCTTAATAAAGTCCCCAGTGCCCAGAGTATATACATTCCCCAGAGAGAAATTAGGTTAATAATAACGATCCCCAAATGGGTTAAACAGGAGGCTAAAGGTCTATTAGGGGAGAAAAGGGAATTTATAGGCGCATAGAAGAGGAGAGGTTAACCTTACAGGACCAATATGTTCAGCACTTTAAAAGAGAAGTAAAAAATGCGATTAGAAAGGCTAACGTGATATGAAAATTAGAGTTGCTAATGACTCAAAGACTCAAATCCAAGGGTTCTTTCAAGTGTATAGGACGAGGTGGGGGGGCTGAAGGAAAAAAGTAGGACCTCTGAAATCTGGGAAATGCGGCAGCTGACGGAGACTGAACAGGAATGTTTTCCTTATTTTAAGACTATTTTTTTGTCAGTTATAACAACAGGAGATGTAAATGAGATTCCAGTATTTAACAATTATTTAGTTCCTGATGAATTTAAGTTAAACTAATATTACTGACATGAGGGACATGGGTTTTAAACAGATAGACAAACTGAACCAATAAGTCCCGGGACCCGATAATTTGATGTTGTTTTCAAGGGTACTTAAGGAATGCAAGATGGAGCTTAGTCAGCCATTAACGAGTGAATTCAATGCGGTCCATCCTTACCAAGTGTCTGGCCAAGAGGAGTGGGAAGATGGCTATTATATTTATTATCACATGGCCGATTTCCCACCAAGGCAGGGTGGCCCGGAAAAAGAACAACTTTCACCATATTCCACTCCATCCACTGTCTTGCAGAAGGGTGCTTTACACTTACAGTTTTTAAACTGCAACATTTAACACCCCTCCTTCAGAGTTGCAGGCACTGTTACTTTCCATTCTCCAGGCTCAAGTCGGCTGCCGGTTTCCCTGAATCCTTCATAAAATGTTACTTTGCTCACACTCAACAGCCCGTCAAGTATTAAAAAACCATTTGTCTCATTCACTCTATCAAAACGGCTCATGCATGCCTGCTGGAAGTCAAGCCCCTCGCACACAACAAACCTCCTTTCCCCCCTCCTCAACCTTTCCTAGGCCGAACCATACCCCGCCTTCCTTCACTACAGACTGATACATTCTTGAAGTCATTCTGTTTCGCTCATTCTCTCTACATGTCAAACACCTCAACAACCCTTCCTCAGCCTTGGACAAGTTTTGGTAATCCCGCACCTCCTCCTAACTTCCAAACTGCGCATTCTTGCATTATATTCACACCACACATTGCCCCAGACATGACGTTTCTCACTGCCTACAGCCTTCTCCTCGCTTCAACTTCATCACCCACGCTTCACACCAATATAAGAGCGTTGGTTAAAACTTATACTCTCATACATTCCCCTCTTGCCTCCAAGACAACGTTCTTTGTCTCCACAGGACTCCTAAGTGCCCACTCACTCATTTTCCCTCATAATTCTATGATTCACTCATCTTTCATAGACCCATCGCTGACACATCACTCCCTAATATCTGAATACGTTCACCTCCTCCATACTCTCTCCCTCAATCTGGATATTCAATTTTCATCACCTAATCTTATTATCCTCCGAACCTTACTCACTCCTGTATTCACCTTTAATTTTCTTCTTTTGCACACCCTACCAAATTCATCCACCAATCTCTGCAACTTCTTCTTCAGAATCTCAAGAGCACAGTGTCATCAGCAAAGCGCAGCCTGTGACAACTCCCACTTTGTGTGTGATTCTTTATCTTTAACTCCACGCCTTTTGCCACGGACCCTCGGCATTTACTTCTCTTACAACCCCATCGATAAATATATTAAACAACCACGGTGACATCAACATTCCTTGTCTAAGGCTACTTTAACTGGGAAATAATTCTCCACTCTTTCCTACCATACTCTAAACTTGAGCCTCACTATCCTGTTAAAACTCTCACTGCTTTCAGTAACTACCTCCTCACCATACACTTGCAACATATCTGCCACAATCCCCCCTATCACCTGTCATACGCCTTTTCAAATCCATAAATGTCCACAAAAGACCTCTTTAGCCTTATTCTAAATACTGTTACTATATGGTCCACTGTAACACACCTGGTACACACACCCCTACTTTCCTAAAGCCTCCTGTTTCATCTTCTATCCTATTCTCCGTCTTGTTTTACTTTTTTTCCTTAATTCTTTCAATTAAAACTACCATACACTTTACCATGTACACTCAACAGACTTATCCCCCCTATAATTTTTGCACTCTCTTTTTTCCCCTTTGCCTTTATACAAAGGAACTATGCATGCTCTATGCAACCCTGGTACCTTACCCTCTTCCATACATTTCTAAATAATTGCACCAAACCACTCCAAAAACTATTCCCCCACCTGTTTTAACATTGCTATCTTTATCCCATCAATCCGGCTGCCTTACCCCCTTTCATTTTACCTCCTGCCTCACGATCTTCCCCACACTCCAATGGCTCTTCCTTCACTCCTACAAGATGTTATTCCTCCTTGCCCTATACACGAAATCACAGCTTCCCCTATCTTCCCAATACCTCTAACTCACATTTCATAACTTCCTCTCCTATTTTAACTGACAAATCCATTTGTTTCTAGGCTTTCTTAATTGGTATTCTCACTCAAAACTTTTTCTTATTTTCAACAAAATTTGTTGTTAACATCCTCACCCACTACATTTGCTCTTTTTTACATTGCATCACACTCTCTTAACCTCTCTCTTTTTCTCCATATACTCTTCCCTCCTTCATCACTACTTTGTAAAAACTTCTCATATGCTAACTTTTTCTCCCTTACCCTCCTCTTTACACCATCATTCCACCAATCGCCCTCTTCCCTCCTGCCACCCACTTTCCTGTAACCACAAACTTCTGATGAACACTAACACTACATTTTTAATCCTACCCCTTACCTCTTCGACCCACATCTGCCTATGCTCTCATTAGCCCATCTACCTCCAATAGCTGTTT